GTGGGGTCCTAGAACGTTACAGCTGACCTCAAGCTGCCCTTGCCCTATCTCAATCTTAAATATGTGCGCATGTGGCAGAAGGGCCACAGTAAGTGGGCCACTGTGGTTGGGGTGAGCACAGAGAGCTACGGGGATCCATGCTTTCACAACAAAAGCAAAAGCCAGTGGGGCTTCTAGAAGGGTAGGGATCACCTGGGCAAGAGTCAAGTGAGCATTATAACTTCCCTTTGCTTGTTAATGTTATCCACAATCTGCAGGAAAATCCATGGAAATGCCTCTGGAGCAGCAGGGACATAAGGAAAGGGAGGGCTGAGGAGACCGCGTCCACTGCTGTGCCAAGCCTGGAGGAAAGACTCCTGGGAGAAGGAAGAGGCAAGAACACTAAGGCCCAGCGGCCTTGGGAAAGGAAGAAAAGGAAGCCAAGACAGAAGCAAGAAGCGTTAGCATGACTGCTGGGCTGGAGGCGCCTCACAGGACTCTCCCCAACCCCAGGCCCCTTCAGCCTTCATACCTGGTGTCATGGATTGAATTGTGTCCTCCAAAAATATATGTCAACTTTGTTAGGCTATGATTCCCAGTACTGTGTGATTGTCCACCATTTTGTCATTTGATGATATTGTATTGTATTGTAAATCCTATCACTATGATGTTAATAAGATGGGTTAGCAGCAGTTATATTGATGAGATCTACAAGATTAGATAGTGTCTTAAGCCAATCTCTTTTGTGATATAAAAGAGAGAAGTGAGCAGAGAGACAGAGGGACTTCATACCACCAAGAAAGCAATGCAGGGAGCAGAGCGTGTCCTTTTGACCTGAGGTTCCTGAGCAGAGAACCTCCTTGGCCAGGGAAGATTGATGACAAGGACTTTCCTCCAGAGCCAACGAAGAGAGAAAGCCTTCCTCTGGAGCTGATGCCCTGAATTTGGACTTTTAGCCTATTAGACTGTGAGAGAATAAATTTCTCTTTGTTAAAGCCATTCACTTGTGATATTTCTGTTAAAGCAGACTAAGACACCTGGGCTCCAGCAAGTGCCTCCTCACTAAGGGCCCTGCCCACAGGCCCTCTTTCCTCACCCATTTTACAAGGTTTATAGTAAGAACATGAAAAATGTAAAAGAAAGGAAAAAAAATTAGGGAAAAAAAGGATAAAATAGTGACATCTGGGAGTCTCACAGCTCCTGCTCTGAAACCCAGGCCTGCTCCTTACCAGCTGGATGGCTTTGGGCAAAGGCATGGAACTTCTAGGGCCTCAGTTTCATCTGGAAAATGGGGACTTAACACCTCTCTTACCTTACCCCCTAGGCTATTATGAGGATCAAAGGAGAGGATGAGTTGAGGGGTCTGACTTCCCCTTCACTTATTGTCGTTTTACGTCTGCCGCTCCCCCCACCCTAGCCTGGCCCCTGGCAGGGTGCCTTCCCTCCTTTCCCAGCAAAACACTTTCAAAAAGCAGCAGATTTCTAGGGTGCCTGTGCAACAGAGTGGAGAGTGTAGTCAAACGTGGCCAAAGACAAGCAGCCCCTCACTGCTCTCCCTACCTCCTCCCTTGCCTACCACTCTCTCCTGGCAAAGGGAGACTGTTCTCAAGCCCAGTTCTGACCAAGCACCACTCTGCTTCAAACAGGTTAAAACTCAGGCTCCTTAGGCCCATAACGCTAAGGTTCTCCTCCTTCCCAGAATTCCCTCCCCACTCTCAGGCTCTGCCTATCAAATCTCTTCCAGCCCTCAGACTTTGGAGTAAAGGGCTACCTCTTCTTCAGGACTCGATGCTTGCCCCCACCAGAGGTAGTCCTTGCTGCTTCAACTCACAGCATTTGGCCTCTGGCCTTACCATCCAGCCAGTTGTCCTCATGTCGGTCCACCAAACCAGCAGTTCTCAAAGAACCCTTTGACACCCCTAAAAATTATTAAGACCCCCAAAGGACATTTGTTTATATGGGTAATGTCTACCAATATTTACCACATTAGAAATTAAAACCGAAAAAAAAATCTATTAATTTATTCTACAACAACAATAATAAACCCTTTAGATGTTAACATAAATAACATTTTTTTTTTAATTACATTTTCCAGAACAGCAAAAAGTAATAGACGGGGTAGCATTGTTTCACATTTTTGCAAATCTCTTTAACACTGGTTTAATAGAAGGCATCTGCATCCTCATCTCCTGCATTCAATCTGTTTCGATATCACTCATCATAGACCCCCTGGAAAACTGTACTGAGTACTCGTGAATGAAAGTCCTGTGATTAGTCAATAGGCTATGCAGATGAGGTGAGTTGTAGCCTACCATGCAAATGAAGTGTTTGTGGCCTACCGAGAGGGAATTGGTCAGTTCGTGGCCCTGCAGGGAGTGCCGTGCCTTCAAATGGACAAGGAGTTTATGTATTTAAGCAGCCAGCCCCACAGAGGTTTTCTGGAGATGGAAAGAAGCAGGAAGAAGCAAAAGAAAGAAGCAGAGAAAGAGGAGGCAAGGAACCTCCTAAAAGAGCTGTAACACAGGTCACGGGCTGTAACACTGAAGACAAGAGGCCCTTAAGGGGTCCGGTGTCAGAGCCAGTGGTGACTGGACCAGAAGGGGTCCAACAGCAGAGCCGGAAGTGACGGATGGCAGAATCAAGAGGCGAGGCGCCTGTCCTCAGGGGGCGGAGAGGAGGCCTCCATGGCCAAGAAGAGCTGAGAGAGCTGTCTTGCACTGAAGAAGGGAGATATTGACTGCATACTTCCTGATCCTGATCCCAAGTTACACCCTGTTACTTCCTTAATAAACCACTTAACTGTAAGTATGGTCTGTGAGTTCTGTGTGGCCACTGCAACAGATCATCAAACCCAGAAGAAAAGTAGAGAGTGCCGTGGGAGGGATGACTGGTGTCAGAATTGGTAAAATGGTTGTAGAGCGGAGGTATACCTTGTCGCAGCGGCGACGGTAATCGGCATGGCGAAGACAGTAACCAACTGCACAACTCTTACAGAGAAGTGGGGCCAGGAGGGTCACTCTGAGGAGTCGACCCCCACTTCAGTCCCAGGAGTTTATTTTATAGGCAATACAGCAAGCGATAAATCAATTAACATAACAATGGGCTTTGGGAGTGGGCAAGGGAGAAGGAATTCAGGTAAACAAGTTAATCAGTAAAGGGACAATAGGTTTGGGAAAACACATCCGGATAAGTCTCGACATGTTGGAGCCAGGTCTCAACATGCTCTGCAACATAGAGGCCTGTGGGGGCTGCAGTTGTCAATAGTGCAGCCATGTTTAAATGGCATATAACCCCACAATACCTGACCTCCACCTCATGAGAATCAGCTTTGTGCTGATGGTGATTCTCATATTTGAAGTTATTCCTACAGTGCCTTAGTGCCATCATCTGTAAAATGGGTATGCTACCTCATAGTTATTAAAGAAGAGAAACTGCATGTAAGGCTTGGAGCCCAGAGCCTAATACATGACAGACTTCCTACCAACGGCAGCCAGAAATGCTATGCTGTCTCCCACCTCCTGCCCTGCCCAACTCTCAGCCTGAGCATGGCTAACACAAAAGAGATTAAAATTCCCCTTCCTTTCTCCCCTCAGGACACCTGGGCCAGGCTGAGATTTTCCAAGAGAAATTTGCTAGCTAATAGACAAAGAGGCTTGAAATAATCTTGTTTCCAGAGGGCAGGTTCCTTCTCCTGCAACAGCCAATCTCACCAACTGCCAGTCTCCGGCCCATCAGAAGGGCCCCCTCCCTGAGCCCCTGGCCAAGTCCTTGGGCACCTTCTCCTCCACACCTCTGTCCTTTCCCCTGCAGGCTTATTGTTGCTGGGTGCCATTGAATTGATTCCCACAAAAAGCAACTGCACATGACAGAGAAGAAGTGCCCCATAGGGTTTTCTAGGCTACAATCTTTACGGGAGCAGATCGCCAGGTCTTTTCTCCCGTGGAGTGGCTGGTAGGTTAGAATTGCCAACCTTTCAGTTAGCAGCCGAGTGCTCAACCATTGCATCAGCAGGCTCTCCCTGCAGGCATGGGGGTACAGGAATAGGCAGCCAACCTCTCAACCTCCGCACTAATGCCAGCACAGCCATAAGCAGCCCGTACCCACCATTTCCTCCCTATAATGACTGTTCTCCTTGACCTGGGCGCAGACACGCTTTAACAGTGATCTTCCAAAGACAACGGCCCAGTCTTGACTAGTGCCCCAGTCACTCTGACAGGGAGGAGTGGCGGGCAGCTGGCTTTATCCAGGGACCTCAGGACTCATAGGCCTTGAAGCTGCCAGTCCCCCTATGCCCAGCTTCTCCCTTCCTCGGACCGCCAAAGGCTCCCCTATGCCTGCAAAGCAGCCCCATTGTACTTTCTCCCTCCCAGCTCCCTCAGGGTGCTCACTCCATACCTTCGGTGAAGAATGGAAAGGGAGGTAGTGAGCTCCTCAGATGGGTCTCTGAGTGGCACAAACAATTAAGCACTTGGCTGCTAACCCAAAGGTTGGCAGTTCAAACCATCCAGAGGCACCTCAGAAGAAAGGCCTGGTGATCTGCTTCCAAAAGCTCACAGCTTTGAAAACTCTGCGGAGCACAGCTCTAATCTGAAATACATGGGGTCACCGTGAACTGGAATCAACTCGACAGCAACTGGTTTGGTTTGGTTTTTGAGCTCCCCAGATCACACACTCCCCCCTCCCCCAGCACCTAGTCTCCTCTGTTCCCAGCCACTGCCTGTGCCTTTAAGAACTGCCATCCTGCACCAGGGGCTTGACCTCAGCATCCTCAGCTGAGTTGGATTAAGGGACCTTTTCAGTTGGGTTTCCTGCCTTTGCAAATTCCTTCTGGCTGCTGTGCCTTACCCCCCACAGAACCACAGTAGCCAGGAGCCTGAACCAGTCTGCAGGGGCAGCCAGAGAGCTGGTCTAGCCTGGCAGCCTTTTCCTTCAGGAAGTAGAAGCTGGCCCTTTGATAGGGGATTGGGGTCGGGAACTGGGCCGTCAATCGGGCTCCAGAGATCTACGCAGAGCTTTGGGCCATGAAGGACTACTCAGATGTCATCCTGCGTGTGGAGGCGACAGAGCTGAGCAAGGTAAGGAGCACACAGGGCCACTCTGCCAGGGTCAGCCTGGGGCTAACGGTGCAGTGGACACACTGCCAGGCAGAGCTGCTCTGGTCCCTCAGCCCTCAAGTCTCTCCCTTGCAGACTGAGTTCTGCAATCCTGCTTTTGAGCCTGAATCAGGGTCGCCCTGCCCTCCACCAGCCTTCCGGGAAGATGCCAGCTGCAGCCTCCGAGCCCCCTGGCATGGTAACCATCTCATGGGGTGACCTGGGGAGTAGGGCAGAGAGGCCAGGGGGCAGAGGACAGTGTGAGGGCTGCCCAAGGGAGGGGCTTTCACAGCTCCCACCCTGCCTGCCCACAGGTCGGCGTCCCCGAGGACCACAGCCAGACTGCCACTTCTCCTGGCTCTGTGTCCTCCTGCTCACCGGCCTGCTGCTGCTGCTGCTTGGGCTCCTGGTGGCCATCATCCTGGCCCGTAAGTACTCGAGGGCCTGCCTGGAAGAAGGGCTTAGAATGAGGCTCCAGGCACCACTCTGCCCCCCACCCCTGCCAGTTCAGCTGCCTCTCCATCCCACTCCTCCATCTTCCTGCCTCCAGAGTTGCAGGCGACACCCCCATCCACAGCCTCCTATAGCCCACTGCCTTCAAGAGGTCTCGGGACCAGCACCAGGACCACCCTCACCACCATCACCACCTCTCAGGCAACTGGGACCCCTCAAGGGCAGCAGGAGGCAGGCATGAGCCCCACACCCCAGTCCAGTGAGTAGTAAGGTCAGATTTTCCTGAAGAAGGGCCCAACAGCTCCTGTACGGAGGTGAGATGAGAAGGCAGAGAGGGTCAGGAGCTGACTGAACAGACACGGGATATCAGGGGTGGAAAGGAGGAGTGTGCTGTCGCAGTATAGGGAGAGCAGCTAGGGTCACATAACAGTGTGTGTATAAATTTTTGTATGAGAGACTAACTTGAATTGTAAACTTTCACTTAAAGTACAACAATAAAAGAAAAAAGAAAATGACCATAGTAAAAAAGAAGAGCCCAAGATGGCAGGGGAACAGGAGACCAAGAAGAGGCACCTTGAAGAAAGAAAAGGGCCTGTCTCCTCTGACCTGTAACCTCCATTTCTGCAGCCTGCGGGGGGCTCCTTTTTGGCCCAAAGGGCTTCTTCAGCAGCCCCAACTACCCAGACCCTTACCCACCCAATGCCCACTGCACATGGCATATCCAAGTGGCCCCAGACCACGCAGTACAGCTCAAGATTGACACTCTTAGCATGGAGAGTGTGGCTTCCTGTCTTTTCGATCGCTTGGAGATCTCCCCTGAACCTGAAGGCCCCCTTCTCAGGTGGGTCTCTCTGCCCCCAGAGGATTCTGCCCCTGCCCTGCCCCTGAACCAGTGTCTAGAGGGCAGGGCCAGGGCACTGCAGCAGGAAAAGGCTGGACTGAGAGGAAATCGAGAGACTTGACTTCTGGGCCTAGCTCTGCCATCGCCTTGCTATGTGACCTTGAGAAGGTCACTTCCCCTTTCTGGTCTCAGTTTCCTAATCTGTAAAATGGAGTGCCTGCCTGTCTTTCCCATGATTAAAATACTGCAAGGATGGATGTGCAGGGGCTGGAGAGGTCAATGCTTCCTGGAAAGCTAACAGAGCCTTTGACCACATGGTCACCAGTTCAGGGCTTGAGGGAATAGCACCACAGGCTGCAGGCAGGCTCCACTCCAATTGGCCCTGTGCTCTGAGCCTCGGTCACATGTAGCCTGGTTTCTTGCAGGGTTTGTGGGAGGGTGCCTCCCCCAACACTCAACATCAATGCCAGCCGCCTCCGGGTGGCCTTCGCCTCTGACAGCAGTGTGGAAGGACTCGGTTTCCATGCCTGGTACCAGGCTGTGGCCCCTGGGCATGGTGAGTGCTTACCCACCACGTCCCTACCTACTGTGGGGTGTCCACTTCCCTCCCCACCTGCCACCCCCAGCCCTGGAAAAGGGGGTTTCTGAATCCAGATGTCCACCCCCAGGGAGCTGTGCCCATGATGAGTTCCCCTGTGACCAGCTCCTCTGCCTGCTCCCCAACTCAGTGTGTGATGGCTTTGCTAACTGTGCTGATGGCAGTGATGAGGCCAACTGCAGTGCTGAGTTCCCAGGTACAGGCCCTGCCGGGGGCCGGGCGGGGCAGGTACTGCCCTCCGGCATCTGATCTAGGTTCAGGCCGGGCTCCCCAGCTCTGGCCCAACCCCAAACCCCAGTGCCCCCACCTGCATTCCCTGCCTGGTCATCCTGCTGTCCCAGAACCTGTTTGTCCATGAGCACAGCCAAAGCCGTCACTCTGCAGCCACTGCCAGCCCACTGCCAGCGCTGGAGGGGCGGAGGACCAGGTCCTGGCAAACACACGTGCCCCTCCTCCTCCCACAGGGTGTGGGGGGAATTTGACTGGGCTCCAGGGCGCTTTCTCTACTCCCGACCATCTGCAGCTGTCCCCTCATCAACAGGTAAGCGCAGCGCTCCATGGGACTGGGTGGGAGGGACATATTTGGGCACACCTGGGCACCCAGGTTAGTGTGATTGAGAGCAGCATGGTAGACACTGCCTTGTACTTGGCAAGGTCAGAGGTCAAGGTGGGAAGGAAACATTATTAACTGCACTGGTGGCTCAGTGGTAGAATTCTCACCTCCCACATGGGAGACCTGAGTTCAATTCCCAGCCAAAGCACCTCAAGCGCAGCCACCACCTGTCTGTCACTGGAGGCTTGTGTGTTGCTATGATGATGAATAGGTTTCAGCAGAGCTTCCAGACTAAGATGGACTAGGAAGAAAGGTCTGGCGATCTACTTCTGAAAAATCAGCCAATGAAAACCCTATGGATCACAACGGTCTGATCTGCCCTAATCATGGGGATGATGCAGGACTCCCTTGTGCATGGGGTTGCCATGAAGTCAGGGTGCCAACTGTGCTGATGGAAGTGACGAGGTCAATTGCAGTGCCACGTCCCCTGCACGCAGATGTCTCTGTTCTGGGTAGCCTTATCTCTGAGACCAGGCAAGTTAAAGGACCTTTCTGATCTTGAGAGCCACTAAGTGTAAGAGCTAAGGTGGCAGTGTCCACCCATTCCCTGCCTGGTCTGCTGAGGGAAGGAGCCTCCTGTGGAGCTCAGCCAGGAGGCCAAGAGTGGCACAAGGGAAGGTGCCGTGAATTTTTCCATCTGTCCCCCACCCCAGCTTTGCACATGGCATATCTCTGTGCCTTCTGGACACCACATAGAACTGCAGTTCCACAACTTCAGCCTGGAAGCTCGGGATGAATGCAAGCTTGACTATGTGGAGGTGTATGAGACCAGCAACTCAGGGGCCCTCAGCCTCCTGGGCAGGTACAGGCAGAGCCCAGAATCAACTAAAGACTCCAGAGTCTGGCACTCAAGGCTCTGCACACATTGGCCCCAACATCCTCCCCAGCTTCATTTTCTTCTGCTCCTCCAAGCCAGAAGTGTCTTCACTGTCACTATGAAAAGGGCTTCTACTTTCTTACCTCAAGGCCTTGGCTCCTGCAATTCCTCCTTCCCCAGAAGGCCCTTGCCTAGTCCTCCCCTGACCCTGGTTCTTCCCACCCTGCAGAGTCCATTTCCACCTCCCCATGAGACCTCACTGATCTTTCCCATCTCGAAGTGGCTCAAGTTCAAGTTGTTTAATACTTTGCTGACTACAGGTGTCTTCCTCAACAGACCCTGAGTTCCATGAGTCAGCAACTGTGTCTCCTAGCACCTCTGGCATCCCCAGAGTACCCAGCCCAGAGCCCCAAAGGAGGCATAGACCTATGGGAGGCTTGAGTGCACCCTCTGTTGGCCAAGAGATCCTGTGCCCAGGACTACTCTGTTTTGGGCAGGTTCTGTGGAGCAGAGTCACCGCCCCGCCTCATCTCCTCGCACCATGAACTGGCTGTGCTCTTTAGGACAGATCACGGCATCAGCAGCAGGGGCTTCTCAGCCACCTACCAGGCCCTCAATGCCACAGAAAGTAGGTGCCCTTACTCTTCAGAGGAACAGGAAGGGCTCTGGACTCTGGTCAGTGGGAGGTTTACCTCCGTGCCCCCTGTACTGCAGACCCCTGTGGACCCAGAGAGTTCCCCTGCCAGGATGGAGGGTGTAAGGATCTGCAGTGGATGTGTGACATGTGGAAAGACTGCACAGAGGGCAGCAATGACAACAACTGCAGCAGCCCCCTGTTCCCACCCCCAGGTGAGAAATCTGCCCTGGGTCACCCTGGGCCTGAGGTGGCAGGGCTGAACCTCCTAGGCTGCCCATCTCAGAGACACCTGCTGGCACATCAATCCCATCCTCATCCTCCCAGATTTGGGGGGAGTGGTGGCTGGGCCTCACTACCCTGTGCCGGGACCACGTCATAAAATCCTAAAGGGACTCTTCTGGTGGTGGCAGTGGTACTTAGTGTCGCCCCAAAGGAAATAGGAATCTGGGAGTTGATGGTTGGGGCTTTAAAAACCAGCCCACCCTTGTCACACAGAGTCCCTCCCATAGCCAGCCCACCTCAAAAGATGAAGCTGAGATTTTACACAGGGAGCAGGGGCATTTCTTCTAGATCCCTGCAAATGATAATGCCCCAATTCCCTGAGATCAAGGAGGTGCCCCACCAGGCCCAGGGCTAGTGAATGACGCTTAGAGCAGGCGCTCACAGATAATAGGAATCTCCATGTTATCTATCTCCTTTGATTCCCACAACTCCCACCTGACCCATATAGAAATGATTCAGAATGGTTAGGTGACTTGCCCCAAGTCATGCAGCCAGTGAGTGGTCCACACAGTGACCCGACCCTCCCCTACAGAACTGGCCTGTGAGCCTGTCCAGGTGGAGATGTGCATCGGTCTGAGCTATAACACTACGGCCTTCCCTAACATCTGGGTGGGCATGGCCACCCAGGAGGAGGTGGTAGAGGTTCTCAAAGGCTACAAGGTACTCTGGGCAGAGGGAGGGAGGTGCCCTGGGAAAGGGAAGGGAGCCTGGGGAGCAGGCGCCTGAGCTGTCTCCTTCCACAGAGCCTGACAAGCCTGCCCTGCTACCAGAACTTCCGAAGGCTCCTCTGCGGGCTGCTTGTGCCCCACTGCACCCCAATGGGCAGTGTCCTTCCCCCCTGCCGCTCTGTCTGCCAGGAGGCAGAGCGCCAGTGCCAGTCTGGCCTGGCACTACTGGGCACCCCTTGGCCCTTCAACTGCAACAGGCTGCCTGAGGCAGCTGGCCTGGAGGCGTGTGCCCAGCCCTGACCCTGAAGCCAGCCCCTGCCCTCTGCCTGCCAACCCTCCTTTGCCTATCAGGGCGGGCTGGCAGGCAGGGGATCCAAAGAATGGGGATCAGCATGGGACTCTGCCCATCCTCCCAAGAGGGGGGAGGAGAAGAGTCCTCAGTTGAGGCTAATGGGCCCCTCCACCCCCCCACCTTCCCAGCCCCTTCCTTGTCCCTCTCTTGTCCCAGCTGCCCCAGGCAGCTGGCCTGGCTCCACTCTGTGCTGATAGACCAGTTCCCATGCAGGTCTCTGACCCGTGTTTCCTACCTGCCTTCCACCCATCGCCCCCCTTTCCATCTTCTTTTTCAGGTTCTCCATCAACCCCTCTTCTTTCTCATTTATTCAACAAAAATATATTGAGTGCCTACTATGTGGCAGGCCCTGTTCTAAGCCCTGGGGATCCAGCTGTCTGTCTGCCTCTAGAACTCCCTCCCCACTCTTGGTTCTCTGCTTCTCTTTCTCCCTGGACTAGTACCTGGTCCGTGGTCGCTGTCTCTGCGCTGTCTCTCCTTTGGCTCCTTGGAGCGGTAGGTGCCCTGAGTCTCTGTCAGTCAATGTTCTGCCTCTCTGGGCCGAGCTCAAGTCACTCTTCCCCTCCCTTCTCCCCCAAACTTTGGCCGGCCGCCGGGCTACACCACGAGTTATTTCCCTGCTATTTCCCGGCCCGGAGTTTTTGGCCCTTGAACAACTGGTTTCCTCTTTGAGTCTGGGAGGAGCGGAGCGGAGCCGGCAGGGAGCGAACCCGGACCAGTGGGGCGGCGAGGGCAGGGGGCGTCTGCTGGGAAGAAGCACAGTGGCGAGAGCTGGGGCCAACTGGAGGGTCCGGAGTGCGAACGCCCGGAAGGAGGCAAAGAGAGAGCGAGCAGCCCGAGGAGCCAGGAAGGGAGTGAGTCTGACGGAGGAGGGGGGGGAACGAATGGGGAGGGAGAGGGGACTGTGGGAAAGACTGGGCGCGGGCACGGTTTGTGGGGGAGGGGGGCTGGGCTCTCCAGGCTCTCGGGTCTGGGAGCACCCCTTCCTCTCCCCCTCCGCAGCCGCTCAGTCTCAGGAGCGCGGAGTAGGGTAGGGACCGACTCCGCAGAGCTGGGACGGGGAGCGCCGCAGGTCCCTGGATTCTGGATCCCGACTCCAGTCTTGCCTTGCCCACAGACTAAGAGAGGACCCCGGCATCCGGGCTCCCCTTGCCACTGCCATGAGGCCACTCCTGGCCCTGCTGCTTCTGGGCCTGGCGGCCTGCTCGCCCCCGCTGGACGACAACAAGATCCCCAGCCTGTGCCCGGGGCACCCCGGCCTTCCAGGCACGCCGGGCCACCATGGCAACCAGGGCCTGCCAGGCCGCGATGGTCGCGACGGCCGCGACGGCGCGCCCGGGGCTCCGGGCGAGAAAGGCGAGGGCGGGAGACCGGGTAAGAAGACGCCTTCGTTGCGGTCCATGGGGCATCCCAACCAGCGCGGCCACTGCTCGCTCGTGCCCTCCCACCCCGCGGGGTTCGGGGTTTCTGCCAAGGGGCGCTGCCCGCCCGCCCCCGCCCATTCCGGCTGTGCTCTGGGAACCGAGGAGAGCGTGACTCAGCCGGCGGGAGCCCAAACTCCTGGGACCTCTCTGACCCGCCCCTTGCATATCTGCCCCAAGCCCTGCAGGCAACGGGTGGGTCGGGGGGCTGACCTTATCGCGGCACTCACCTAACCTCACCCTTCTTCCCCCCTACGCAGGGCTGCCGGGGCCCCGCGGGGAGCCCGGGCAGCAAGGAGAGGCGGGGCCAGTGGGGGCGACAGGGCCCGCCGGGGAATGCGCGGTACCTCCGCGCTCGGCCTTCAGCGCCAAGCGCTCAGAGAGCCGGGTGCCTCCGCTGTCCGACGCGCCCCTACCCTTCGACCGCGTCCTGGTGAACGAGCAGGGACATTACGACGCCACCACCGGCAAGTTCACCTGTCAGGTGCCAGGGGTCTACTACTTCGCGGTCCACGCTACCGTCTATAGGGCTAGCCTGCAATTCGATCTGGTGAAGAATGGCGAGTCCATTGCCTCTTTCTTCCAGTTTTTCGGGGGGTGGCCAAAGCCAGCCTCGCTCTCGGGGGGCGCCATGGTGAGGCTGGAGCCCGAGGACCAGGTGTGGGTTCAGGTGGGCGTGGGTGACTACATTGGCATCTATGCCAGCATCAAGACAGATAGCACCTTCTCTGGATTTCTGGTGTACTCCGACTGGCACAACTCCCCCGTTTTCGCCTGATGCCCACTGAAAGTGAGCCCACCCTCTCACTCCTGGGGAGGAGGGTGTGACACTGACAGCCACATCTTCCGGGAGGGCTGACCCCCCCTGGAATGTTGCGAATGAGTCGGGCGGTGGGCTGGGCGCCTCTCAGTCAGCTCACGGCAGGGAATGGGGGCAGAGGCTGTCTGAGGTCAGGGCCGGCCGCATGGGGCAGTGGCTGGATTTCTGCCCAAGACCAAAGGATCGTGCTGTGCTGGCACATGTGGGTGCCTGGCTGCTCTGGTCCAGGACCCCAAGGTGGGGTGCTGTCCTCCTGGTCCTCTGCTTCTCAGGGCCCTGCCCATCCCTCCTGCTCCCAGGGCCTTTTCTGAGAGATGGTCAATAAATCTTCAAAATCCTCCTACTGGCTCTAGACTTTCTTCTTTAGTGGTGGGGATGCCCTGTTTCTGAAGGTCAGCAGGGGCCTCGGGCAAGGAATGGTTCTTGGGAATGAGGGTCCAATACTCAGGGGTCCAATGCCCAGGACCCCCAAGGTGGGATGGAACTATGGGGCAGGAGCTACAGGCAGCAGGCCGGGGTGAACGACAGGCCACTCCACAGAGCTGCCACTTAAGTTATGTAGGTTGTGCCCTAAACAGGAGTGCCTGGTTGAGGGGGGTGCCCTCCTGGCGTAGGGTTCTGCCCACCCAGAAAAAGGGGCACCTTTTTCCAACTCAAAGATGCCATGTGAACCGGGTGGGGCTGGCTTCACCACACACACCCCTGCCCCAGTTCAGCAAAAACATCCCCGATTCTCATTCACAGCTGTTTGCCTTGTCCCTAGATGACTGAAAAGCTATTTCTCTGTCCCTTTGCCAGGGGATTGGAGCGTCCCTGGATGTCTACAGAGTAGTAGTTTTAAGATGACCACCAGGGGGCGCCCCAGCTCCAGAATGCAGCAATGACGCGGGGTAGCTGGAGCTCTGACAACTGGGTGGTTACAGGAAGGAAGGGTATTCAGGTCTGCCAATGGAATTCCAGGTGGGGGTGGAGGAAAAGGGGGTCCTTTGCTCCCAGCTCCAGAAGTTTATCTTCTCTCATAAAATGTTTATCCCCACATTAAACAGAGACTGGAAGAAGCCAAGCTTTCCCTTGCTCTGCTTCCTCTCCAGCTGATTATCCCAGTCTCTCACAGAGGGTTGGGGGGAGGGAAGGAAAAGAGTCAAGCCCTCCCCCAGGCTTCCCAACTCTGAGGTGGATGTGGGGACTCCTCCCCTGCTGCGCCTGGATAGGCTGAGCCACTCTTTCTGAGGCTGGCCACAAAGGCCCCTGAAGACGCCCCTCCTCTATCAAAACCCAGCCAGACGCCACCCCAACCCAGTTCAGTGACTAACAAACCAAGGCTTTAATCTGCTCAGCCTCTCAGCACAGAGAAAGTGGATGTGCCTATCCTCAGAGTTACTTCCTGACCTACTTCTCCCCACCCCCACCCCCAGATTCCAGTTCCAGGCTTTACATTCCTGGAGGCAACATACAATTTTGGAGGGGGTAACTTCCACCCCAGAGCCCTGATGTCACAGTGGTTAAGAGCTAGGCTGATAACCAAAAGGTCAGCAGTTTGAATCCACCAGCTGCTCCTTGGAAACCCTATGGGGCAGTTCTACTCTGTCTTATAGGATTGCTGTGAGTTGCAATCAACTTGATGGCAATGGGTTTTGTTTTTTTGTAACCTCCACCCCTTTCTCCCTCTCTTACTGATCATGTGAGGGAGAATATGACCAATGGGGACTGAGCCCCATAGGTGAGCTACAGATAGGCCTCCAAAGTCCTGGGATTCAGCTCCTTGCTCTCCACCAGGAGGTCCCACAGCCATATACTCCAGCCCATCACAGCGCCAGACTCTGCAGAGACACAAAGACAACCACCAGCTCCTCCAGGGATCGGAGGGTAGATGGACTCCAGGAAGCAGGAACCCCAAGTTCAGGAAAAGCTGGGAAGGCTGGCTCAATGAGGAAGTTCACTAAACCAAAAACCAAACCCACTGTTGTTGAGTCAATCCTGACTCATGCCGACCTCCTGTGTTACAGAATAGAATTGCTCCATAGTTTTCTTAGCTGTAATCTTTATGGAAGCAGATTGCCAGGCCTTTCTTCCGTGGCACTGCGGAGTGGGTTCAAACCCCTAATCATTAGATTAGTAAAACCAAAAAAAAAACAAATCTATTGCCATCGGGTTGATTCTGACTCATAGTGACCCTATAGGACAGAGTAGAACTGCCCCATAGAGTTTCTAAGGAGTGGCTGGTGGATTCAAACGGCCGACCTTTTGGTTAGCAGCTGTAACTTTTTTTTTTAATTGTGCTTTAAGTGAAAGTTTATAATTCAAGTTAGTCTCTCCTACAAAAATTTATACACACATTGTTATGTGACCCTAGTTGCTATCCCTATACTGTGATAGCACACTCCTCCTTTCCACCCCGGATTTCCCATGTCCATTCAGCCAGCAGTTGTAACTCTTAACCCCTGCACCACCAGGGCTCCTTTAGGTTAGTAGCTGAATGCAAACTATGCCACTCAGGAACCTGAGGAAGTTCACATTCCACTCTAAACATAAACAAACTAACTGCCATAAAGAAACCAGGTGCCACTGAGTCAATTCCAACCCATGGTGACCCCATGTGTTGCAGAGCAGAACTACACTCCTTAAGAGTTTTGAGGCGGTGACCTCTCTCTGAAGTACATCCCCAGGCCTTTTTTCCAAGGCATCAGTTACTGGTCAAGCAATTAACCATTTGTGTCACCCAATTCTGGCAAAAACAGAGAAGAGAGGGAAGGTTTTCCAAAAGCCATGTGTGCGAGGGCACAAACAGGAGAGAGTGAAAGCTAACCCAGCCCCACCAGGCATGGGCTCTCCCCATGGCATGGCAACCAGAAAACCAGTTTCCGTCACCTCCAACTCACGGCAACCCCATGTGTGTCAGAGAACTGTGCTCCATAGGGTTTTCAGTGGCTGTGTTGTTTTCCAGAAGTAGATTGCCAGGCCTTTCTTCCAAGATGCCTCTAGATGGACTCAAACTTCCAAACTTTCAGTTAGCAGCTGAGCACGTTAACTGTCTGCAGCACCACGGCATGGTACTCCCACCTTCTCTCTTCTCCATGCCCCAGTTTAGGCCCAGGTCCTCCCCAAACCACACTTCTGACTTGGGCAGGTATGAGGCACCAACTGCCTACCCTTGCAGGGATGCACACAGGCTGTCAGAGCTGTCAACAGAGCTTTATTCACTGGACGTGGGCCAGCCAAGCTCCTCAGGGGCTGCATGCCCCTAGGCCCTGGCCTCTTCTGTGTTTGGATCCTAATGAAATGTGCACAGTCTGCCCTCCCCAGTGCCAGAGAGATACAAACAAGGGAATGTCATTTTTCTGTGTGGTGTGGGGAGTTAAAAGGGTACAAGTAGAAATCTAGTTATCCCTCCCGGGGGTCCCAGTGGAGCTGGGGTGTCAGAAGGTACATGGTCCCACAGCCAGGTGTAGGTATAGTCCCTCTCCACCATCCCTACAACTCCAGGGATGAACTCCTGATCCCAGCTTTTGGACCAGGTTGGGAGAGGGAGCCTCCTAAAATCATGACAGGCATAAGTGGTAGCTCTAACGGCACCTGAGAGACACTAGACCCAAAGCCTGCCAGACACAGGCACTCTGGCTGAAAGCAAAAATTCAAGATCCTCCCAAGGCCCTTGAGTTGCCAAAAACACCTGAATGACGACACTGATGTGCTATGGCTGCAAAAGCTGGGGAGAAAGTGAGGAGGGGACAGGAGGAGGGCCTGCAAATCTCCAACAGAAAAATCAGAATCAGAGGGATACCCTAGAGGCTGGCTTCAGAGTGGGCCCTGGCCAGGAAAGCCCACAGGGCACAGTCTCAGGGCCCTTGCATAGTGACACACACTCACCACCCTCAGCGTCACAGGGACACACTGGGTAAGGAGAAGCTGTGTTACCCCGCCCCTCCCCTCAAGCCGTAGTCTTCCAGAGTATCCTATCTTGATGTCCTGGATGTACAACTTGGAGGCTTGGCCCGACAGCCATGGAGGCAGGGCGGAGATTCAGGCCAGGATCCAGAGATGAGGTGTTAATACTGTCCCAGCGCAGATGCCTGTGCAAAGCGTGGTGGGGTGGGAGAGCGTGTAGGGAGCCTTCAGAGGTAGACATTGAGGGTCTGCAGGATGCCTCGACGGCACAGCGGGCAGTTGCGGTGGTAGACGGGGTGGCGCATCAGGATTTCGGTGCAGGCCTGGCACAGGCATAGGTGCCGGCAGGGCAGGAGCAGCACTGTCTTGCTCTGGTCCTGGCAGATAACGCACTTCTTCCGCTCCTCCTGCTCCTTTAACAACTTCCACGGGTCTTGCCCGGCTGCAGGCTCCTCCTCATTGAGCCTCTCCCGGCCCCGGGCAGCTGTCACTCTGACCTCCTCTTCTTCTGCCTCTGATGTGGGTCCTGCTTCAGGAGTCGTCTCCTGTCCCCAGGTCCTGGCTGAAGGCACCCTCCTAGGGCCACCCTGGGGAGCCCCAGGTGCCCCTCCCCGGTTCGGCCAGCTCACTAGCTGCAGGCTTCGGCTCCAGACTCGGCGCCAGGCCTCCAAGCCCATCACTAGGCGAGACAGCCGCATAACATCCTCCCAGAGCCGGTGGTAGGATGGCCAGGCATACAGCTGACTGATGGCCCGCGTGGCCAACCTCAGGATGAGGTCTGGATGCATCACAGTCACTGTTACTGCCAGCACACAAGCCAGCAGCACCAGACCAGTGAGATTGACAAGCACAAAGCTGGCAAGGAGGCGGGCAGTTGAGGCCAGCAGCTCCAGTGCTAGTTGGCAGGGGGTCCAGAGGAGAATGGCCATGGCTACAGCACTGCTGGAAATGTGGGCTAGGAAGGCAGCCACCACATCTGTCATCCTCCACAGAGGCCCCATCACTGCATCCCACAGGGCCAGCATCAGGGAGAAGAGGTTCTGGGTGCCAATGAGGCAAATGTTGACTAGGCTGTTGATCACATAGGCCACCAGGCTCATGGCAATGGCACAGATGTCACAGGCCTGGTGCAGCAGAGCATGGCCACTGGAGACCACATTGAGGACGCCCCGGTGCAGTAGCTCCCGGCTCCGCAGTGCCCCATGAGAGGCCAGGTGTCCCAGGAGCTTCAGGCTCTCCAGGCCAGAGAAGCAGCTATAGAGCAGGGTACACAAGGCCTGCAGGCCTCCAAAGGTGAACCGGACCAAGGCTTCAAACAAGGCCAGCAGTGAAAATAGGACTCCACGGCCCAAGTGCAGAAGACTAGTCAGTACCGTGTGTGGCAGGTTGTAGATGAAGGCCAGGAGCCAGGCCAGGGAAGCCAGAAGGGAGGACACCAGCAGAAAGTTGAGGTCCAACAGCAAGGTCAGCACATCCAACACCAGGCCCATCCCATTCACTACCAGGTACACAGCCTCCATGATAGGACTGTGAAAGTCTGTCCGAAGTCTGGCTCTCACTGGGCGGGTGAGGGGGAGGGGGTTTGGGGTCAAAGCTGTCAATGTGTTGGCGAGAAGGGATTAACTTGGAAGGGAAGTGAGCAGTCTCCGACCCAGGAGAATCAAAAATCTGAGGAAGAAATGGGTTAGAGGGAAGTGGGGTCTCGGTAGAGGGCAAGGAGCCCAGACGCCGGTCCAGGAGTCCTGGTTTTGAAGGCGGGCTGCTTGGGGAAGAAGAGGCCAAACATCTCTAAAGTGGACGTAAGCCCAGGCTGGAGGAGAGACCTCAGCTTTGCAGGCTTGGCGGCGGCGTACCACGGCCGGGCAGTGGGTCAGACCGGGAGGAGACCGGGAACGGATAGGATTGGGCAGGGCCGGGCCGGGCCGGGGCCGGGTAGGGGCGGCGCAGGCTGGGCGCAGGCTCGCGGTCCAGCTACGCAGGTGCCCCTGTCCCCGCCCGGCCCCCGTCCTCAGAGCTCGCGGACCTCCGCGCCCAAAAGGGGAGTGGGGAAGGGAGACAGCCTCAGCAAACCCCAAGCACGGCCTCCACTCCGCTGGGCGCCGCCATCTTGTGTGCGAAGGGGTGGGGGCAAGGGGCGTGGCAAAGAGGGAGGGATGTGGAATTCCGGGCAATTGGTGAGGGCCAACCACAGGAAACGTCGAGCACTCATTGGTCTGTTTGAACGGCGCCCAAAGAGATTTACTTTGACCCTTCGAGGGGGTGATTGGTCAGTTGACAGGCAGAGGCGGAATACGACCGCCTAGCCCCGCCCCCTAAAAGAGCCGGCACTTGTTAGATGTAGGTAGAGTCGGTTTGGACTCACAGCGACCACACGTAACAGAGTAAAGCGCCCCAAAGGATTTTTCTAGGCTGTAATCTTTGCGGGAGCAGATTGCCAGGTCTTTCTCCTACAGAGCAGCTTGGTGGCTTTGAACCACTAATCTTTGGGTGAGCAGCCAAGCGCTTAACCATTGCGCCAACAGGGCAAAATTTGAGTGCCGTTCTTTCTCCTGGTCCTGGAGTGAGCGTTTTTTTGGCTTCAGTTGGCGGTCACTACCTCTGGGCTGGGCTCTGGGATTGCACCGCCTCCAGAGCCTCTTCAAACCCACTGCCTCTTCCTCCTCTTTTAATGCATTCATTTATTCTATCATTTATTGAGCTCCTATGCATTGGGGATACAAAAATGTTTAGGACAGTGACTGCTCTCAAGTAGTTCACAATGGGAAACCCTTAAGTAAACATTATTACAAGGGATTCCCAAGCTGCTATTCCAGACTGTTTCTCTCAAGCTGCAGCAGGCTTCTCAGCACCCTCAGAAGATAACGTCATTGTCTTTGACAAAAGGGGTCGCCAGCCTGGAAATAGCTCACCTTCCTACCCCAGCCCCTATCCATTTATTTACTTGAACACTGGGAGTCTCCAGGTTCCTCAGGAAGTCTCCTTTAATATTCAAATAATATTTAATATCCAAAGTATATTTGCGACTCCATCCTAAATATATTGAGAAGTCTGGTGTTCCCTACTAAGGTCCCTGTGTAGCACAAACGGTTTGCTCTCGTCTACTAACCTGAAGATTGGCGTTCCGAACCCACCCAGCAGTGCCACGAAAGAAAGGCCTGGTGATCTTCAATAAAGTTTACAGCCAAGAAAACCCTATGGAGCAGTTCTCCTCTGAGACACATGGGGTCACAATGAGTCAGAATTGACTGAAGGGCAACGAGTTTGGTTTTTGGCTTTGGTGTTCCCTACCATCTCCAAGGATACTGGGGGGACTTACTTTTCCCATGGTTACATCTTGCTTTAATTCCCTATCTGTATTGAATTCTCCATCTCCACTTTGGCCTGGCTTTCTAAAAGCATCTGAACACTGCCTGCATCTTCCATTCCCCAAAGTACCACTGACACAAAGCTGAGGTGTGCTGTAAGCCTTTACTGAGGCACTGGAGTCTCAATAGGAGATACACTATAGTGCAGAGCAAGGAACAACTTAAATATTTAAACTGCAGTGTCTAAAAATATGTGGGTTTTTCCCCATCCCCTCTCTCATTCCTGTCAGGCCCTAATTTAGCAGTATTTTTTCCTGCCCTTTCTCTTCCTCTTGAGATTTCCTCTTTCCCTTTCTAGCTGCCAGACTCCAGGGTCCCAATTTTTGTTACATGATTTGATAGACTAGTGTATTTCTACCCCCAACCCAGTCCAACCTCTGAGCACAAAATGCTGATCTCTCTAAGCAAAGGAGAATAACATAAAGATTTGTTATGTGTGGTTATGTCATGGTTTGTGGTGGTGGTTATCGTTGCTGTCGTTGTTAGTTTTATTTTCCCATTGTGCATCCTTTCTCCTATTTCAAATCTTAGAGATATGCCTGACCTCCCTTTCAAGATACCTGACCCCACCAGCCCTACCCTCTTCTCTTCCAGTGAACATGTCCAGTGAACATTATTTTGTTCTTAATTGATTTTCCTGCAGCATTTGATGCCCCTGACCACTTGCTCCACTCTTGGCCTCAGGGACATTTGTCGGTGTTGTTAGTTGCCATCGAGTAGATTCCAACTCATGGCGACCCCATCTGTGCAGAGTAGAACTGCTCCATACAGTTTTCAAGGCTGTGACCTTTTCAAAGCAGATCACCCGGCCTGTCTTCCAAGGCGCCTCTGGGTGGATTCGAACCGCCAGCATTTCAGCTGGCAGTCAAGTGCTTAACAGTTTGCACCACCTAGGGACTCCTGTCTATATTCCCTCTGTTTCCATAGTGGCCTCCTCCCCACTATACATGATAATTTCTAAATCTGTGTCTTCAGCCTTCTTTTGCAACATCCAGGTTCCAACTGCTTCCTCAATGTGAATAGCTCCCACTGGCACTCCTCGCTCAATTTGTCCAAAGTCAAATGCAGCAAAACTTGCTGTGCTTGCACCATGTGCAATTAACCAACAAGTTTTCCACACCAAGAAGCATGCAAAACCCAAACCCAAACCAAATCCATTGCCATCGAGTCGATTCTGACCCATAGCGACCCTAGAGGACAGAGTAGAACTGCCCTATAGAGTTTCCAAGGAGCAGCTGGTGGATTTGAACTGCTGACCTTTTGGGTAGCAGCTGAGCTCTTAACCACTGTGCCACCAGGGCTCCAAGAAGCATACAAAGGGCTCTAAAAGAGGACTTCATTAGCTTGGGACCAAGGCCTCCCCTTTGGGCGATCTGAGACATACTCAGCCAGTCACCTTTAGTGAGCCACAACCCTTCACTCCCGGGAGACCCAGCTGATGATCAAAATTCTTGTAGCATGGGATCAGGCTGTAGTGGCGCCAGAGCACAACTACAAAAATGTTCTCGGTTTCCTGTCTTAAGCTAAACACATAATGGCCGAGGGCACCATGTGACCACAGTGCAGAAGCTGTGCTGAGGTGGTCCCTCTGAGGAGCCAAGGAGCCTACTCTTCTCAGTGCCGAGAGGTTGTAAACCACTCTGCTTGAAGTGACCATGGGAATAGTGGTTTGTCTGGACTCAAGCAGTATCTCTGCCATCTTGACAGTGTTTGTTTTTTTTCCTTCTCCAGGACTGAATTGCAGAGAAGAACCGGTTCAAACCCACAGTTGCAAAAGCAAGGGAAACCTCCTATTTGGAGACTGGAGAAGGAAGACTGGGGAGTGTTGGTGGAAAGAATCGGCATCAACTGACTTTAAGGAGATAGTTCAAATGGCTTACTAGTGTGTGTCCCAGGAGCCCTGGTGGCGCAATGGTTAACAGCTACATCTGCTAACCAAAAGGTTGGCAGTTCAAATCCACCAGCTACTCCTTGGAAACCCTATGGGGCAGTTCTACTCTGTCCTATCAGAATCTACTCAATGGCAATGGGTTTTTAATGGCAGATAGAGTGGTGAACTAAAGCCCTCGGGTCTGCTCTCAGCAACAGTTAGTTTTCACTGTTGTGCTAACTGCAGGGCTTTTGTTTTGCTGTGTAAGAGAGCTAGTGGGACAAGAGAGAGATTTTTAGGGGTTGTGGAGGGTGGAGGATTAAGGGATGGAGGGGGCGGTAGTGGTTCAGTGGTAGAATTCTCGCCTTCTATACAGGAGACCTGGGTTCAATTCCCAGCCAACTCACTTCAAGTGCAGCCACCACCTGTCTGTCAGTGGAGGCTTGCTTGTTGCTATGATGCTGAACAGGTTTCAGAGGAGCTTCTACACTAAAGACTAAAAGACAGACTAGGAATAAAGGCCTGGTGGTCTGCTTCCAAAATCTCAGCCAGTGAAAACCATGGGTTCACCATGAGTCCGGGACAACTCTATGACAGCTACCAACAAGACCAGAAAGAACGTCTAAGGGAGAAGTCTAATTCAGGGGTATTGTTTTGTGGTATTGTGACAAAGTTATTACCCTTTGACCCAGCAGCCCACTTCTAGGGATCAAATATGAAAAAAACTATATATATATTACTACCATGGTTTTAAAGTTGAATTGTTTTTCTTTTTTATTTAATTTCGTTTTTTAATTATGCAAAACACTTACATACTCGCAAAGTCAAAACTATATAAAAAGGTACATTCACAGAAGTTTTGCTTTTATCCTTTGTCCTTTCCACCCCTGATCCTCCCAGTACCACCCAAGCTTTAGAGGGCCCCATGTATCATAAACATGCAAAAACGTGTTTGCTTTTTTTTTTTTAAAAGAACACATGAGCTCCTCTGTTTATAAGAATCTAGTGCTCAGTGTTGCTACAGCAAAACTTGTAACTCTAAACATCAGCTGTGACCCCAGAGAAGCACTTACCTACTAACACGGTTCATACCCCAGAGAAGCACTTATCTACATCTCTTCACCTATGTCCTGGAAACATGAGGTGACCATGTCCAAATACCATGAAGTTCCGTGGGTTGTGCTGGGGAAGATTTGAGGGTCGATGCACTTAGGTAAGGGAAAAGATGAATTCATTAAGTGATCAAATCCTTCTTGCTTTTCTTCCTATTCCAATTCCTGATCCCAGAAGTACTCAGAAATTAATGTAGCGTTTATGAGAGCTGAGGAGCATTTTGTATTATTCGACAGTTCACACTTCTCTTAACTTTGTATATATCTAGGTCTAAACAAAACAAGTATGAGTATTTCACCTACTGTATAAAGTTATAGGGGTAAAACATGCATGAGTTTTACTCCTATTGGAAAAAGTTCAGGTTTGATGTAAGTAAAGAACTGAATAAAAACAACTTACCATTTCAGGCATTGATTTAAGGAATTGTTGAGGCCAAGTCTATGGTAACGGCACTGACAGGGTTAGTAAAAGCAAAGGTGAGCAAGCC